TAGAAGCAATCTAGAACTAAGGAGGAATTTCCTGACAGTTAGAACAATTAATCAGTGGAACGGCGTGTCTTCAGAAGTTGTGGGTTCTCCATTAATGGAGGTTTTTAAGAAGAGACTGGACAGTAATTTGTCCAGAATGATATAGGTTCTCCTGCTTCAACAGGGAGTTGAACTAGATCTAGAAGACCTTCCAACTCTGTTCTGTCCTGTCCTTTCATGTCCACTAGATACTGACAATTCTTCTGAAAGTTAAATCCAACTTTTATTTACAATGACCTCCCCAACCATCACAAATCAAATATTCAGAGAGTGAATTCAACACTGCTAACCATTATACAGGTAATCCTCAATTTACAAGCACAATTAAGGCCAACATTTCTATTGCTAAGTGAGACGTGTTAACTGAAGTTTCTCATTTTACGACCTTTCTTGCCACATATGTTAAGTGAATCACTAGCTGAGGATGCTGGCTGAGGAATTCTGGACGTTGAAGTCCACAAGTCTTACAGTTGCCAACTTTGAAGGGCCCTGAGCTACAAGATATGGAAACAAAACCCCCATATATCTCTTTTGAAGGACAAAACAGGCTATTATCCAGAACTTATGGAAGTCATTAGGGGTTTTTTTTGTGGACTGCAGGGATACTGACATGTTTTGGCAATCTAGCTTAGGTCATCTTAGCCCAGTTATACTTCATTTAGCCTGCTAGATCCCTCTCTCAGGAAACGGACGAAGCTTGTTTTGAATCATTCCGGCACAAGCATTACATCTGAGGTTACTCCTGAGTTTCTGAAATAAAAACACAATTCAACCTTGGGATGGTCCTAGCAGAGTTTTTTTTAAAAAATCTCAAACGTTAATGCTGATTTGAGAGGACAGCGGCTGAATGCGATGTGCTTTTGAAATATTTTTTGATAAAATTGCCTACTTCTCCAGGGGATTGAGACATGGCTGTTCTTCCTATTCCATATTTTATAAAGCCACAGGGTTTGACCCTGCTAACTCTACGCCTCTTAGTCTCCAGAATATAATTGGCAAGTTATACGCTAGTCAGATCTGGTGGGGGACTTTGGGATTATCTGTCTCAGGAAAAAATATGTCAGGAAAAGAATAAGGTAGACTTTGAATCAATCTCCCCAACTAAACGCCAGGAATTTCTATGATAGCATCTGGTCAAAATATATGTCATACAGCCCAAAACATCAGTTCACTCTGGCTTTGTTGAAAATCAGACCTGATTTTAGTTTGATCTCATGGAGGAAAAAAACCCTAGCAGTCCACCAATTAGCATAAAATTCCAAGGCTTCAATGTCTACATATTCTCATTAGTTAGGGAATTGAAATAGATGCTTTTAATTAGCCAAGAAACACATGCCAATCTCCAATCGCTCTGGATCACGATTCCTCTATTACTCATCTCTCAATCTTTTAATGGCCAAATTCTTGGAATTTAACTGGAATCATGCTAGTTTTTTTTTTCTATTGACCCACCAGAGTTTCATTTGGTTTAAACAAATGGCAGATTTTGCACAGACTACACAACTGATTCTTCCTCTTCGAAGGCATCACATTTTCCTGTTACTTTAGATGTTTCATTCCAGCACAGAGATATAATCTGATTCCTTCTGGACTAACTGTTCCATCCTGACCCTTCAAAAGATTTTATTTAAGTTGTGACTGTTGAAGTAATAATAATAATAATAATAAAAAAGTAAAAATCGGTCAAGATTTTTCTTTCAAAAGTCATAAGGGGTGGTGGTGAAATATAACAACTCTCTAATTTTTTTCAAGGTGTTAATATATCACAGAGAAGTTCTGAATTATTAGATTCTCTTTGGTGCTGGTGGTTTAGATGTTGGACTTGATTACAGATGATGCCCAAGTACAAACTAAACATAAATTATGGACAAATAAAATTTAGTATATCATGGGAAAAATCGATTCATCTACATCAGATTTTATACACCATAGCTAGCACATAGCTTCTAACTTCTGAAAGGAATCTGATAAAACAGGCATAAACAGTGGTGGGATTCAAACATTTTTACTACTGGTTCTGTGGGTATGGCTTGGGCGTGGCTTGGTGGGCGTGGCAGGGGAAGAATACTGCAACATCTCCATTCCCTCCCCACCCACTAACCTGCTTTCCAGCTCTGTTCTCCTGTGCAGGGCAACTAAAGAAGACCCAGCCAATCAGCTGGGACTCAGGAGGCGGAGAATAGATGGGGGTGGGGCCAGTCAGAGGTGGTATTGGCTGGTTCTTCGAACTACTCAAAACTTCCGGCACCGATTCTCCAGAACTTGTCAGAACTTGCTGAAGACCACTTCTGGGCATAAGCTCACCAAAAATATGTTTTTTTTTTAATAAACTGGGATAATCAGAAAAGGTGATTCTGGATCCTTCTGATGTTTTGCCATTATAGGCTAACTCAAGTCTTCTGCTACAAAGCTCCCAACTTTGTAATTCAATCTTTCTAACACCGTCAACAACTTCACTATCAAATCTGATGAAATTCAGTCTATATTACCACTCTTATTCCAAGGCCAGACAAACCCATTATCTCCATGCTTCTTTGTTGGAGAAAATCTAGACTAAACAGCAGCCCAGACCAAGCAAACATAAATATTAGGGAAAAGTCATTTAATGAACCCAAAGGTGCTTTTTCAAGAGGCAACTGGACTTTCTGGTTTTTCTTTGAAGGCGTTTCTCTTCTCATCCAAGAAGCTTCTTCAGCTCTGGAGAGCTGAAGAAGCTTCTTGGATGAGAAGCGAAACATCTTCAAAGAAAAAACAGGAAGTCCAGTTGCCTTGCTGAGGTACTGAAGATTTAATAGCTGACCAGCTATAAATGCTGATGCAATGAGAAGGAGTCAGCAGGGTATTGCCATTTTAAGACTCAGGTTGGGACAGCAGGGTATTGCCACTTTAAGAAGTTGTCTATATAAGAGAGTCCATGAGAGGATGTATGCCTCTCTCCTTGTGTTCTAACTCCACCATAGTTCTTCCTGCAGAGTAATGAAGATAGATTTCTTGCCTGGGATGTGCCTACCACATATATGTATGTATATAGCAGTCTTATATATAAACCACTGTTAAAAGAGAAAGCCTCTGTCTGCTTTGTTGTGCTCCTGGGTTATCTCAAAATAGCAGTCATGCTGCAATCACTCTTGACATGCCTCTTGAAAAAGCACCTTTGGGACAAGCCTGACCTGGATGACTGAGAATCTCCACAGACATTTAATAAACGAGGCTGTTTTCTTGCCTTCCCTGTTTCTTTGTCCTCTGTGCCCCTAAAATACTTCGCCCTGTGTTTTCAACAGCTCAGCCTGGAGAACCCATTGCACCTCCTCTACTCTTTGCCTTTTGTACGGCTTGGTGACCCTTGAACTCAAACATTTAAAGAGTTTGTCATCAACTTGCTGAGATAAGGCTATTCAGGCCCTCCAGAGATAAGAGCCAAAGAAAGACTGTACACACGGGACAGGCCACGTGATTGTGTTAATCTGGGCCTTAAAAGCTCTTTAAGGGAAGACTAGAGAGCTGCCATGACGGAACAGGCTTCTGCGTTCAGGGCATTCCAAGGAGGAAATGAAATGTTACTGTGGTTTAATTTCCTCCAGCCTTGTAATCTATACAGTGTTTGGGTAATAGCTGACCCTTTTACATACCAACCTTGGACTGAAAAGATAACAGTTGTTGACACTGCAGTTTGTTTTCTTCTTTTTTCTCATTAATTTAAAAACAGAGGCACTACACCCAACATTTAAAAACAACAGTTTAGCAGTTAGCACAATCTCAAGAGAGGCAAGGAGAGTGTTTCTCCTTTCTTAATCGTTCTCCCAAGAATGTTTTAAAAATTGCTCTTCTCAAATGTGGCTGAAGGTTACATTTTTCCCATCTCTCCCGCCATCACATTTTTTCCCCTAGGTCTGTTTTGACAACTTTATACAGAGACCCCAACTTTATTTGGTTCCTAAAGAATGACTCAGGTGTAAGAGGCTGTGGCATATTATACCAAAATGTAAATGGGGTGGGAGAAATAATTTAAAGCCAGGCAAATATGCCAACTGTAAGAGACCAAAGCAGATTTACCAAAGGTAAGAAGAAAGCATGTCTGATGAGCCATTTTCCTGGATTCCACCCTCCCCACCCAAAAATATTTGACAAGTTCAAATTGGATTTGGTGTTTTTCATTCAGGGCAGTACGCGGGCTCTTGAGATTGATGTCAGCCCTTTGAGATAGGACAAGTCAAGAAGCAGATGTGACAGGGATTCCAGAAAATGCCGTTTCATTCTTGTAGGCAGGGGTGGGATTCAGCCGGTTCGGGCCGGTTTGAGAGAACCGGATGTTAAATTTTTGCTGAACTGTTAGTTGAAGCGACCGGCTGGCCCTGCCCACCCCACCCCAACCTGCCCCTGCCAGGAGTCTCTGTGTGGCCCATTTTGGATGCAGGTCCGTGAGGAGGGTCTGGGAGGGTGAAAAACGGCCCTCCCAGAAGTTCCAGATGTCTGGAAATGGGCCTGTTTCTGGCTTCCGGAAGGCCTCTGGAGCCCAGGGGAGGCAGTTTTCACCCTCCCAGAGGCCCAAGAGAAGCCTCCGGACTCTGAGGAAGGTGAAAAACAGCCCTCCTGGAATTTCAGTAGGCCACGCCCACCATGGCCACACCCACCCAGCAACCGGGCAGAGAACCAGCTGTTGAGATTTTCGAATCCCACCCCTGCTTGTAGGTTAGAATAACAGAATATGAAAAGCCTATCCCTAGTTTTTTATCTGCTGCACCTAATGCCAAGCAGGAGAAAGCCAGATCCATTCCATGTTCTTTCTGAACCGCCATAACAGCCCACTTGGCTAAGATGAGCATTTTCTTCAATTGAAAAGAGAAAGGAAGGACACAGCTCGGCAAAACAACTTCAGCGCCAGAAGTTACGCGCGCTTATTCTTTGGAGTGACTGGTGCAGTCCCTTGTGTCCTTGCTCAGGTGTTCAGCCGCGAATCCTACCTGCAAGCAGGTGAACAGAGCTGAAGCTTTTCTCCAATTTTCTCAGCAGGAGACTCAAGAAGGAATCGGGAGGGACAGCAGCCAGATCTGTTGAGTTTTGGTCATACACCACGACTTCCTGTTTGCCATCGATTTCAACCTAAGGCAGCAAGCCAGGGAGAAGAGACAAGAAATAGTTTTCAATGTAGTCCAAATTTTACCTTTCTGCTCTGGTTTTTCTGGATGACTCTATTACTGTACACATTTCCTGTCTCAAACAGGAATGATTTCAAGCAACAGCAAGAGCACTTAGACTTACATATCGCTTCACAGTGCTTTACAGCCCTCTCTAAGCAGTTTACAGAGTCAGCCTATCGCCCCCAACAATCTGGGTCCTCATTTTACCGACCTCGGAAGGATGGAAGGCTGAGTCAAGCTTGAGTCAGTGGGCAGAGTTAGCCTGCAATACTGCATTCCACCCGCTGTACCACCATGGCTCTTAATCCCTCTTGTTTCCCAACTTCTGGCTTCTTTCTCAACACAGAAAAATATGCTAAGGCTGGAATATTAGAAAAAGACCCCAGCATTTTGCCTGGGGCTGTAGCACCAGGAACGACGTATCAAAGATATATGGGCCCCGAACTTTCATTATCTTGCAGAGATTCAACTGGAAAACTGGCCAGTTCTTATCCTTTTGCTTTTGACAGTTGGATTATATAATACCTGAAGCATATAATCATTGCTGGCATCAGCACAAAATTGTTTCATGTTTCCAGGCATTTAAAAGGAAAAAAACCAACAATATTTCTTATCAACAATGTTTTATTGCTACCTAATGTTGGCAATTTCGTGCTGCACTGATTGTTACTATGAAACCAAGCTGTCTTCAGGGTAAGCTCATAAAACAATGTGATTTATTTGCCTTCTGATGAAAAGTGGCCAAGGCCACCAGAGCCACTGTTTTGTGAGAGGGCCCAATGATACGTTCCTACAAGTGCAAAAGGGGATACGGATCCTGGATTTACTTCAATGGGCAAATTTAGTCATTGAATTCCTTGGGGAGCAGTAAAAGTGTGGGAGAAGGAAAGGCGGAGGGTGGAATCAAGAGAGGAATTAGCCTGGAATGTTTATGTTGCTACCAACAGTTCAAGTCCAGCCCCTCTTGAATTCTGTTGACTCTTATCTAGCACAATTTATTGCTGGCTTTTATTAGACTGGATTCTTGTATACAGGATTGAACAATGAATCAGTTTGACTGGAATGTAACATGGAGTCCTGATTCTTAACACCTGACAAATGCTTTCTGTATACAGGTAGCCCTTTCTCAATGAAGACTCATTCAGAAACCATTCAAACTAAGATGGTGCTAAACAAGTGGTACTTAGGACAAGTCCTTGTATTACATATGAGCCGTGGTGGCGCAGTGGTTAGAATGCACTACTGCAGGCTACTTCTGCTGACTGCCAGCTGACTGCAATATGGCAGTTCAAATCTCACCAGGCTCAAGGTTGACTCAACCTTTCATCCTTCTGAGGTGGGTAAAATGAGGACCCAGATTATTGGGGGGCAATAGGCTGACTCTGTAAACCGCCTTGAGAGGGCTGCAAAGTACTGTGAAGTGGTATATAAGTGCTATTGCTCTCTCTTCCTTCCTCCCTCCCTCCCTCCTTCCCTTTCTCATTCTCCTTCCTGGTGGTGCAATGGTTAGAATGCAATATTGCAGGCTGACTCTGCCAACTGCCATCAGTTCGACTCTCACTGGCTAGCCTTCCATCCTTCTGAGTTCACTTAAATGAAGACCCAGATTGTTGGGGACAATATGCTGACTTTGTAAACCACTTAGAGAGGGCTGTGAAGCGGTATAGAAGTCTAAATATTATTGGTATTGCTAGTGCTGTGTTGATCCTCAATGTCCTGCAGTCATGTGATCACAATTTGCAGCCTTCTTGGTTGGCTTCTTACACGTAAAATCAATGAGAACACTGGGAGGAGATGACAAGGGGACATTGTGCTTAACAACGGCAATCAGAAATGCTGTAGTTTCTATCACGCAGTTATGTGATGTTGCACTTTATTCGTGCATCATTTAATGATGGAAATTCTAAACTCAATTACCGTTCTTAAGCTATAATTCCAAGAAATATAGTTGCTCCAATGAGTTTTGGGAACATGTAACAGCATTCAAACAGAAAGCAAGATTATTTAGGAGAATAACGTCTTTCAGAATGAATATTTGGAGACCATACTTTGATCATTCTGAAACACTAAAAATGAAGCAGAATCTTATTTACTGTTTGGCAAATACCGAACAGTGCAGGGATGCAGGATGATTGGGGTTGACGTTGGTTTTAATTTATGTCTTTTATTGTTTTCCTACTGTTTTAAATTTTGCCTTCTACCAAAAGTTAGCTATTTCTAGCGCACAATCCGACAGAGGAATGGGGGATGCAAGTGTAATGAATTAATTAAGTGAAATATAGCCCTGATTTTCACACTGGGCTAAAATCTGCCAATTGTTAAGCTTTGGCTCGGCTGGACGTGTAAACCAAATCGCTGTGGTTGCGCTAGCTGACAGCAAAGCAATGTTATGATCTCACTGCAAATTATGACTCATTCAGACGATCGTGGCCAAAACAAAAACCGGGTTAAAATAAAGCACATTCGTCTTTGAAGGCCTAATATGCTAAGTCTGCCAGAGAGCCTGGAATGGGGATTTCATGCACTCCGAGACAAATTTCTCTGACTCTGTGGAGGACTGGCGTCCACAAGCATCCTCGGGGGAGTGAGGGGGTCAAGTGAGATCAAATGCGTCATCTGTGGCTTCTCTACCGGATGGACGCTCGTGTTTGTATCGGCAGGACCACAAGTTGCGATCCGCTTAACCTGAGGTGAACTGTTTTTTTTTTGTTTTTTTGTTTTACGTGACAAAAGAAAAGGCTAAACCTTACGGCTATTTCAGTTCATAAAACATCAAACTCTTCCTCCCAAGAGTGTTTATTTTACCTTTCCATTGTAGCCACATTTTTTCAGGATTGAGAGCAAATTGTTGTTAGCAATGCTCAGGATAAGGCCGGTATCAAGAAAACTCTTGATTCTACTTAAGAATCATTTGTGCCAGACCTGCACAGCATCATCGGACAGCATTGCAAAAAAATAAAAATAAAGTTGTTGAGACTTTGGAAAAAGGGCAGAGAAGAGCAACTAAGACGTTTAAAGGCCCGGAGACGAAAACGTATGAAGAAGGGTGGCAGGAATTGGGTAGGGCCAGTCTAGAGAAAAGAAAGACTGGGGCTGACATGATAACAGTATTCCAGTGTTTGAGGGGCTGCCATAAAGAGAAGGGGATCAGCTTATTAAAAAAAAAAAAAAAAACAGAAGGAAAGACAAGAAAGAATGGATGGAAACTAATCAAGGAGAGAAGCAACCTGGAATTAAGAAGAAACTTCCTAACGGTGAGAACAATTAACCAGTGGAACAAAGTTGTGAGTGCTTCATCAATGGAGGTTTTTAAGAAAAGACTGGACGGCCCACCTGTCTGAAATCGTATAAGTGCTTGGGCTTGGCGTTGGACTAGAAGAGCTCAAAGGTTTCTTCCAGCTCTGTTCCGGTTGGCTGATCTCTTGCCAATTCCCAATTCTGTCCTTCATCTATAAATGTATTTCCCCACCGCCCCTCAAAAAGGAAAACCCCCACTGCCTGCTTCCCAGCGCCTCACCTTCTGTTTTGCCGAATGCTGAATAAGTTCGGTGATCAGCACCTTATCCTGCTGCAACCTGCGCTTCATGAGCTTCGAGCAATGGATGTTGATGGCCTCCAAGATATGGGACATGTTGTATTCCACAAAGGGGCGGCTGTCAATCAGGAGCAATTTCTCCATGCTGCTTTCCAGCCAAGTCACCAGCCTCTCTCCGGGGATGAGCTGAGCACCATTCATTTCATCCGCCATGACAACCACAGGCGCTTGAACTGGAGCAAGGCTTTGCTTTTTAATCTGCGGCCCCCACGAAGACGATGAGGTAATGGCTATGAACTTAAAGGCCCAGACTCTCCATTGTCCTCCAAAGGAATGAGGTCATCTTGGTGGAGACTGGCAAGAGGAAAGGGAGATCCATTTTCTCTTTCGGAGGGTCCTCTAGAGAGAAATGCCCCGTCCAGCCGTGCCATACAAAGACGCCCCTCAGAAGCCATTCATCTTGGGCTACGGAGTCGCCATTTCGCTCTCTCACAAAAGATCCTTCTCAGATGCTCCTGCCATTACCTCATTCTCTATCTTTGTTCCCCCATCGTTGGTTGTCTTCTCCGAGCAGCCTAGGAGCCTGTACAGAAACGAGGCAAACAGAAAAGAAACAAAAACCAACAAGGAGGGAGATGAGACTCTCTAAATCCCAGCCCTGCCTCCCCTTCGTTTGCTCCCACTCTGGTTGTAACAGCAGGGGCCTCGTTCTCTGGCAACCCCCAAAGGTGTGTGTATATGTGTGTGTGCGTGTGTGTGTGTGCGCACGGTGGCACCGCAGCCAAGCCTGATTAACACTTGCCATGTGTTCCTCAGGGAGGAAAGGTAGAAAGCAAAAAAGGCAACGTCTGGGATGCTTGCTGTATGGAGGAATCTGGTAGCCCCTTTTCAGACTAATCAAAAGAACCACAAGGAAACCAAATCCTAAGTATAACTAAGCAAAATGGAGTAAGAAAGGGGATCTTCTCAATGAGTATAAATGGATTAAATTCCCCTTCTAAACGAAGATATATATATATTTTTACAATTATGAAAATTGGACACAGAAGTAATTGGTTTACAAGAAACACACGTAAAGAAACAGCTATAAATTTTTAGAATACCCCCAAATTGGGGAAACTATATTTTACATCTGCACAGCAAAAGAGAGAGAGACAGAGAGAGAGAGAGAAAGAGAGAGAGAGTAGTAGTCTGATATATAAAAGAATCATTGGATTCTAAACAAATATATTCAGATGAAGAAGGAAGAATTTTGATGGTAGAAATAATAACTAAACAAAAAAAGATTTTGATAATCTATATATATAAAAGCGAAATACCACTCATGCATCATCACAAAATCTCCAGAACCGTAAAGCCTACAAACTTGAAATTTGGCACGTATGTCCCTCTTGGCTTCTAGGTGTTCACTAAAAAAGGACTTTTAGAAATGACCATCAGAGCATTAGTATTTCCTATATTATTATTAGCACGCTCTGATGCTAAGGAGTTCTACTGCCCCTCCCCACCTGAAAAGAAATCTCTTCCAAATGCCAAACACAAGCAGAGGAGAGGAGTTTCAGTTTTAGTTTCACAGAATAGTTGAGCTAAGTCACCCCCAGGCTCCTTGCTGTCTCCTTGCTCACACAGCAAATATTGTTTCAGTTTCCAAACAGCCCTCAACTCTCACACACTGACAGGACGCTAGCCAGATGAATATTGATTTTTTCCCCCTTATTTTCCTCCCCAAAAACTAAGCCCGACCACATAGTTTTGTAGTGAAGCACAGGTATCAAACTAATAGCAATATATGCACCAAATGATAAACAAGGAAATTTTAACCCAAAATTACATAAGAAAATATTAGGAATGGAATATCAGACTAACCAAGTTTTATTGAAAGGACAGAAGCTTTCGGGAGATCTGGGCACCAGTCTAGCCCCTCCACGGATCTGAAGAATAGACCTGCATTTCACAAAACCTTCAGCCTTTTCATAAAATTGATGAAAATTAATGCTGGATTCGTTCTTCGTCCTGGGCACTGTTGAATAATGCAGCTCTCATCTTACACTGCTGTAAAAGCAAAACCTGATCTTCACCCCTAACGTCCAGAGGGGTAATCTCCAGGGACAAAAAATAGCTATCCTAGATATTGATTCTCTAGGAAGAGGATAAATAAGGCCACCGAAAGCTTCCACATACAAGAACAGGCATTTCACCCATTCATGAAACTTGGAGCAGTACTGCAACTTCATTCAGCTGGAACCTCTAAAATTAGCAGAATGGACCGGGGCTTACCTGAAATAAAGTATTGATTTAATGCAGAGCTCTCCAAACTTGGCAACTTTAAGATTTGTGGACTTCAACTCCTAGAATATCTGTCTTAACAAGTCTTAAAGTTGCCGAGTTTGGGGACTCCTGATTTAAAGGGTTTCCTTCCATACACACTGAAGCATCTGCAGCAAGTGGTTAAAAAGGCACTATGGTGGTCACAACCACGTATCTTAAACCTCACTCCTCTTTACACAATTTTTTTAAACCCTCCACCCCAAAAGCTCCCAGCGTGTAAACGAACAGGGACGAACGCAATCTTTTCCCGTGCATTTTAAATAAGAGATTAAAAAGGAACACTTAGGTCGTAAAAGCCAACTCATTTTTCAAACAGTCGCAGTTTTAAGAATTAAACTGAACAGTCACTAAAATGATCGTGTGAAATTTTCCTAATAGATGAGGCTTGACTATCATGGGTGTTTATTTCTTCCCCAGGCACAGCTGGAGGAAGACTAGCTGTCTTCTGTCATTCCTGGATTCTTTCCAACAATGATGTCGGCGAGAACCGGCCTGAAGCCCCACAAGATTCTTGGCCAATGTCCAGGATTTCATCATTTGGTTGGTTGTTGCAAAAAGGGTGACTTCAGCACAGAATGGTTGAAAAGCACTGATTTAATCACTAAAGAGAGCCAGGCTGGGAAGCCAGCTGCCCACCAACCAAAATCCATGCCAGGCATCGTACAAATGACCATCTCTGGCACCTGATTTGGCACCCTTTAAGCATAATGCTGCCATCATATTTATCTCTCTTTAAGCAAAAGGAAAAAAAAAAAATCTCAAAATGCCCCCTTAGAACCTGCGCTATTGATCTGAATCCGTCCCCAAACTGGAAATCCAATGAGGGCCGGGGCCTCAAAAACATTGCCCTGAAGGTGTCCTGTAAAAGTATAGAATTTGCTCCAAATAAATAACCTTTGACTTTATGTTCTGGAATGTGTTGAAACAGCTCGCGAAACTTTCCAACGTTATTTTGAAAGATGTCAAATTGTCATTGTTTGGGGTTTGGGGTTTTTTTTTTTTTGGCTTTTTTGCAACTGTAGAAAGTTACCACCCATCCCACTCCTAGAAGAATGAAATATTTTGAGAAATATTAAAGAGGCAGAATATTATCTTTCCCTGAATGAAAAATGGAGAAAATTGCTCTTGGAGAGCAGTCCCAACCTTCCTTAATATCCCTCAGCAGATGTCAGCACTTAAGAGATAGCTAGCTCTATTCATAAGCAAATATCCTTACCCGAGATCCAACAACTTTGGAAATGGAAAGAGACAATTTTCAATCTTTATAGCACCAAAGTATCTTCAGAAACACCTTCACTAGGTGAGAACTCTCCTGCACTCTTTATCCCACGGCAGAGGTGGGATTCAGCAGGTTCTGGCCAGTTCTGGAGAACCGGTAGTGGAAATTTTGAGTAGTTCAGAGAACCGGCAAATCCCACCCCTGACTGGCCCCGCCCCCATCTATTCTCCGCCTCCCATTGAGTCCCAGCTGATTGGCTGGGTCTTCTTTGGTTGCTCTGCACAGGTGAACAGAGCTGGAAAGCAGCTTAGTGGGGTGGGCAGGGAATGGGGATTTTTCAGTATCCTTTCCCTGCCATGCCCACCAAGCCACATCTACAGAACCAGTAGTAAAAAAATTTGAATCCCACCATTGTTCCACACGGTACAAAGCATGGGATACCTCACTACCAAGAAATCGAAACCTTAACACGTTTCAGTCTTAGCAGCGAGGATTATTTTTGCACAATGTTGGAAAAATGAAGAAGCACCGCAAGATGGAAGGATAATTAAGAAGATATTAAGGTTGTGCAGAAATGGACAGGCTTACATTGAAAACAAAACAGAAAGAAGACACAGAATATTACCAAATAATGGAAAATGTTTTTCCAGCAGATGGAAAAAAGGGGGTGGAAAGCAATAAGAAGGGAATTTGTATTGTTAAGCAATTTAAATACCCAGACAACACGGTGTTGATCAAGCACTAAGAAATATAATAAATAGAAAATTAATAACATTTATTAAAAACAAGAAATTGAAACCTATTGGGGATCCTGAGGATCTGACAGTATAGGTAGTCCTTGGCTTACAACAATTCATATAGCGACCATTCAAAGTTACAAGTTATGACCCTTTTTCACACTGACAGCCATTGCAGCATCCCCATGGCCTTGTGATCAAAATTCAGACCCTTGGCAGCTGACTCATATTGATGATGGTTGCAGTGTCCTAGGGGTCATGGGATCATACTTCTGACCAGCAGAGTAAATCAGGAAGCCAGATTCACTTAACAATGGGGTTACTAACTTAACCACTGCAGTGATTCAGTTAAACAAGTGTGGCAAGAAAAGTTGCAAAATGGGGAAAATTCACTCATCGACTGTCTTGCTTAGCAACAGAAACATTGGGACTCAATTGTGGCTGTAAGTCGAGGACTACCTGTTTAACTGTTGCTAAAATTGTTGAGAAATGCCTTTAAAAGAAATCATTTGCAACCTAAAGATTCATTCGTTGTCACAACTAATTGTGCATATATGGTAAGGATGGGAGCTACAACATTGTGTTTTTTTTTTACTGTATTCTTTTTTGGTTTGTTAATTTTATGACTGAAAACTGCTGAGAATCAGGTGAAGCAAATTTATTCAACAAATAAATATTTTCTGGTCCAAAAAGGATTAGACATTGTCCTTGGGGGAAAGAAGTTGATATGGGGCTAAAAAATGATTTAACACCAGATTAAACCCAGATTGTTGGGGGCAATAGGCTGACTCTGAAAACTGCTTAGAGAGGGCTGTAAAGCACTATAAAGCAGTATGTAAGTCTAAGTGCTATTGGTATTGCTATCAGTTTGATCAATTTCTAATAGTAACCTCATTTTAAAAGTATCTCTTGCTGCGTGGATGAGGAATAGAACAGAATAGAGTAACAGAGTTGGAAGGGACCTTGGAGGTCTTCTAGTCCAACCCCCTGCCTAGGCAGGAAACCCTACACCACTTCAGACAAAAGGTTGTCCAATCTCTTCTTTAAAACCTCCAGTGTTGGAGCATTTACAACTTCTGGAGGCAAGTTGTTCCACTGGTTAATTGTTCTCACTCTCAGGAAATTCCTCCTTAGTTCTAGGTTGCTTCTCTCCTTAATTAGTTTCCATCCATTGCTTCTTGTCCTGCCTTTAGGTGTTTTGGACAATAGCTTGACTCCCTCTTCTATCTTGTCCTTGTTCTCCTGAGTTACTGCTACTGATGTCCTTAGAGTCCCCCCCATTCCATTCCCACCCACCCACCCAATACCAGTGCTCCTGCCCTGAATGTTTTCGTTTTGTATTTGGAACAATACACGAGAAGTAAAGGTGGACTGGGAAGAATAGAAAGAGATGCATTATAAGAATCCAGGAAAGGCTGGATTCAAAAGAGTTCCTAGTGTATACAATAAATGAAGAAAAACATCCATTTAAAAAAAAAACCCAGTGTATTACCAAAGACACATCGTATCTCGTTTGATGAATAACTTTCCTTCCAAAAGTGAACAAAGAACTATTACAAAGTCTGCGTTACTATCACTATTAATCTTCTCATCACTCCTGATCACCCATCTCCTCCCACTTGTGACTGGATGACTGTAACCTTGTAACTTGTATCATTACGATTTTTATTAACTGTTTCCTAGTATGATTTGATTGCTTATTGTACCCTATGACTATTATTAAATGTTGTACCTTATAATTCTTGACTCTTGAGGAATGTATCTTTTCTTTTAGGTACACTGAGAGCATTTGCACCGAGACAAATTCCTTGTGTGTCCAACTACACCTGGCCAATAAAGAATTATATTCTATTTTGTCAGAAAATGTTGATCCTTAACTGTCAAAAGGATTTGCCAAACTTTTCTCTAAATATCTCTCTGCTGAATGCAACCATTATCTTGCTAAAATCCAAATTCAGCCACACAAATCCTCAAGGCTGAGAAGTTGCTGAAAAGAGGTAGAACAACTTCTTACATTCCAAGTCAACAAGGTCACCAGGGATGGGTCAACAGATACTGATCTCTACCTACCCACCATCCTCTGGTCAACTGAGGCTTTCAACACTACGTTTTCTAATAAAAGAAAGAGAGGGTAAATTCAGGACAGTCATCAAGTGAATCCATGGTCACTAATCAATCTTAATCAAAACTTTGCCACAGGCAGAGTATCTGTCACTATCCTTGGCCCATTTTGGTCAGTACATCCTAAGTACAGGTAGACCTCAACTTACAACTGGACACTTAGCAACTATTCAAAGTTACGAAGGGCCCTCAAAAGGTACTTACATCCTAGTTTTGAGGTTCCAGTGCCACCTCCTGAATTTTTACAGCTCTTTACAATGTCTTGTAGCCCTGGGATTGCAATTTCCATTTTTGCCCAACCCCCCTGGTTTTTAGCAAAAAAATTATGGCTTAATGAGCACCTCAAATAAAGGTAGTAAAATCGGATTGGTCACATAATTGTAGTAGCTACTGAGATCCTGTAGATGGCGCTAGCAGCAAACTGCAGTGTTCAACCTATAGGGGCCACTTTGGTATTGCATGATCTCGTTCTCTATCTTGGGTTGGAAAGTCTGAGACTTTCCGGACTTATAGGTGACCTCATTTTACTAACATCACCACTATTCTTAAGGATTGGTTGGAAGGTTGTACCAATGTGGTTGGGAGGTTTCACCCATGTGGTATCTATTCTCCAATCCAAATGCTGTATCTGTGCTACTCTTCCTTGCTTGTAAAAATGGTATAAAAGAATAAATGCTGCCCAGGCAGTCAGACATCTTGGCACCCTGCACAATGACTGATTTTTGAAATCCATCATATAATGACCTGCTTTATGATCACTGCGACTTACAACTGTGATAGGTTGAGGTACCTTTTCCCCCGAAACCCAATTATGTAACATAGTCAGAGGTGGTATTCAGCAGGTTTTGACCAGTTCTGGAGAACCGGTAGTAGAAATTTTGAGTAGTTCGGAGAACCAGCAAATCCCACCTCTGACTGGCCCCGCCCCCTATCTATTCTCTGCCTCCCATTGAGTCTCAGCTGATTGGCTGGGTTTTCTTTTGTTGCCCTGCACAGGAGAACGGAGCTGGCAAGCAGGTTGGTGGGGTGGGGAGGGAATGGGGATTTACAATATCCTTCCCCTGTCATGCCCACCAAGCCACACCCACAGAACCAGTAGTAAAAAAAAATGAATCCCATCACTGCATATAGCTCTGTCCTGTCTTTCTAGTGATGAAAAAGTATAACAACTAATGAAGAGTGCACCCGCTGGTCTTCTTGTGTTTTGGAGGGTGGGGCCTTATCTAGAGGGATTCAGCCCTTCTTTGCTTTCCTGTGAGAAATCACTCGATCTCACGTGAAATAAATGAAATCAAATGTCGTATAAAAAGGATGGAACAAGACTGGTAAACATTCTTTTCAATACTCAAAAATGGCAACATTCAGTGATAAAGCAGACAGACTGCAAGGTTTTTCAGCAGATTAAAAGAAAACACAGAAAGAAATGCAGATCCAGAAATGGCTCAGCCTTTGCCTCCAAAGCCTCTATAAGAAGAAACCGGTTAGATGTTTCGAATAATTTAATATTGTGGAATACAGGAAAATTCTAGAGAAAGTTCGGTGTGTTCAGGCCCTGAGCCCTATTGATGGATTGAAGGCTGAAGTTTAAAGGCTCAGCTCTGTAAGTTATATAAAGAGGCACAGACAGAGGCAATTAGATTTGACTTGCATAAAGCAAATAAAAATAAATTAAAACATTCATGCAATATCCGGCTGAAATGGTTTACTTATTTCTCCAGAAAAAGGACTCTACGAACAGCATCTGTTCCTCTGCTTTAGTTCTGCTGGGCTTTCAGATTCTTGGGGATTCTCAACTTTAATCAGAGGCTGGTGGGAATATTAAAGCCCCCATGATTTCCCCAGCCTTATGTCACTGATTTCTCTATTCTGCCCTTTGGTCAAGATGACTCAACTAATGAGGGAGGGGCTGGGAAAAGCTAATTTGGACGTGACCTGAAGCATTCATCTCTCCCCCTGAAGGAATGTGGGTTGACTTCTAGTCTTAGAAGCCACACTAACAATAGCCTGTATCAGAATAATAGTGGAAGGAAAACAAGGATTTAAAAATTGGCCACCATCCAGGGAAAGCTAATTTCACTTTCTGAACCGAGCTTAATTTTCTCCCATTACAATAAAGAACTCTGGCTGAACTATATCCATGCTATGCTCGCAAGTTATTATTATTTTTAAATAATACTAGAGCAGAAGAGATTTGTTTCACGTCTAGTTGAGAACTCGTTGTTCTTTCAACGTTGTGTGACGAGGCTCATGTTGAAACGTGTCTCATCTAAAAGGGCTTCATTGCTTGAGAAAGAGAATTTGCCTTGTTGTTTCCTTGTACACTTAACATAGCAGCTTCAAGGAAATGACACCCGTTTCACTTCAAAATTAATTCAGGAGTTGCTCATTGCTTTATGGAATCTAGATTTAAAATCTAGAACTTCATGTAGGCCGAATAATGTACAACAATGTGTAGCTTTAGTTAACTTTGGGTCCGTCAGTAATTAAAATCTGGTGATGGGCCAGTTTGATTCAAGCATCAGTTGGAAAGTAGAATTTTTATTTCTACTTTACTTTTATAAAAAAAATAGAAATTTTATTTCTACCATAGCCAAAAAAGAGATAATTTTGGTGTGAGTTTCTCCCCCTCTCTTCACACACACACACACACACATATACCACACACTCCATACACCACACACTCCAAAATTAATTCCTTCCTAAACTAAGCTTACTTTTTGCTTGATTTCACGCATAGCTGACTGCACAATTCTGAAAGTTCAAGTCCACACATCTTAGAAGTAGCCAAGGTTGAGGAACACTGTTTACCTGAAATTTACTAATTGAAATACCATGTTTGTTTCCTGTGGAGATCTCCATTGCATTCAACTGAATTTCAATTATATTTCTTCTTCAGCTACACAGTTGGACATGATGACCCAATGAACCTTTCCAGCTCTTATTTTCTTCTTTTACTAGACTTGGAAGTGTAATTAAAAACTGCTATCCTTTGAAATCACAACTCGGGGAGAGGCAAGATTGAAATATCCTTAACCAACATTGAAAGCGAAGTTCTATCAGTCTCACTGAAGACCTATGGATCTGACTTGACTTGTCCTGACCTGTTGCCTTAAGGACATTTGGCTTATCTCCCTACAGGTGAGCTATGACTCAAAAAAAAAAAAACCCTGGGAAATTTCACAACAGCCTTTAAAAAAAAAATCTTTCACTTTCTGTTTATGGATTTGGGAGAAACAAGGAAGAATTACTGACAGTGAAAACGATTCATCAGTGGAACAGGAATGGTGGGTTGCTCCATCACTGGAGGTTTTCAAGAAAAGATTGGACAACCATTTATTTGCCCAGGATAGTGTGAGGACTTGAAGGATCAGATGATGGAATGTATGTAAATAGTTGGCCCTGGGGATCAGATGAAGGGTCATGTGTGGAGATAGGATCCAGGTATGGATGGAATGGACACGAGAAAAAGGAATATGAATTCTGATACATTTTCTATTGTCTTCATATTTCCTATTGTCTTAAGCAGCCTTGCTCCTTCCTGTCCCTCTCTACAGGAGGAGGGTCACGGGGGAGTGGGGGGTGCTTCTCTCAGATAAAGATTTAAAACTGCTTTTACTTTTCGCTGCGAAAGAAGCGGGGTCGCGGGGAGTTACCTTGAGCTGCTCTGCAATAGGAAAGGGGTTGGAACCGCACATTCTTAGCGAGGCAGAAGTTAGCACCTTAAACCACTAGCCAGGATATTAGGCCCAAGAATAGCTTGCTTATATGAAAAACCCCAAAAACCACGTAGATGGCACATGAAACCAGGACACTTTGCAAGATACCCGTGACCTGGGGTGAAAAAAAGATGACGTGACATTTAGCTCTGTAAGGGGCTGAGATCCAAATAACCAGTCAATTTTATCTGTTATGCATGTATTGTTAGGGGAAGGGCAAAGGGCCGAATGAGACCACCCCTTGACTATAAAAATTGCTGTAAAATTCTCATTGAGGCCTTTGGTTATCTTTCGAACCAGGGTCCTTATATCTTGGTACCAAAATAAAAGCATATTGTATCACACTTTGCGTCCGGTGACTTATCAGCTTCGACACCAAGCAAGAGCCCAATTTTGAGGACAACAGACTCATATCTTGGCGCAAATCCTTTCCAGCCCTACGATTCTATTCTATTTCTGACCTGGTTAAAAATAAAAAACCCATTCCTTTAAAGAGCAGATGCAGAAAGGAATTATGCAAGAATCTTAGCGGATTTGAAAAAGGAAGCCGTAGCTGGTGAATGAACATAATTAGAATCGGGAGTGCTAATGCTAGGATTTTCCCCTTTTGCATACAATAAGAAACAGCAGGAATAGGGTGTGGAAAGCCATTGCAAACTGTCTTGGGAATTTTCATTACCATTTACATAGTAATAAATAAAGGCGATGACAGAAGAAACACATGGGATATTTTAGCCCCAATGACAAGACGGAATTAATCACTGCATTACTTCACCTCTTATTTCTAAATCATGTCACAATCGTGTCATTAAATGTGCCATTAGGTCTGATTTCGATCTTTACATGCAATTCCCAGAATTATTACAGAAATCAGAAAGATTACAAAAGAGAAGGCTGATTCATCGGTATCTGGTGAACAGAGATCAAAGATGTAAGACATGTCACAAAATTCCTAATAAAGGAAAACACAAACCTCTAATCCATTAAAAGGAGGCTAAATATTTTAGAAAATTATTTTATTGACTTCCCGCTATTACAGTTTACATAAGAGAACGGGCTGTTCAGGAGAGTCCCTGGGAAATTCCTTCCACGGAATAATAATAATTTACAGGATATCTGCCACATACAATTATATATTTGTCCTTTTCCGTGTAATGTTAGTCATAATTGGATAATTTTTCCAAGGACCACTGATTCCCCACTGTTCAGTCAGAACTGAAGAAGCCTCCTTGGGTGAGAAGTGAAACATCTTCAAGGGGGAAAAGAACAAAGAAAGTCCAACTGCCTTTTGAAAAGCACCTTTGGGATGACCACTGATTTTGTTGAATTGGTTGTGATCTAGCAACACAAACATAGAAATGGAAGTGGAGAATATTATATTTCAGATAAAAGCTGGGAATATAGCCCTTTGACACATACAAAGGGAATCACCTGTCTTATTTTTGTTTAATGGCTGATTTAAACAACAATTTCCTTAAGATTTTAAGAGGTAAACCCCAACGCTCTTCTACCATGAAAGGTTTAGCACATCCCAGGCGCAAACCACAGATATAGAGTAGAATCTTGTAGGGTTTCTGCAAATCAGCTGCAAATCACCATGAATGCAGACATGTTGAGCACCAGAAGTTCAGTCATATGACTGTACCCATCGGAAATCTACAACCAGATCGTAAGTCCCCTTTCTTGGGTCGATCATAACTCTGAATGATTGCTGAACAACCAGTTGTAACTCAAGGACCACTTGTGTGTGGAGAGGATATGATGAGACAACTTCTGAATTGCTATCAAGAAGGTCTTGATAGGAATGCATTAACACAACTACCTTCTGATTCTTACCAGCAACTATTTTTTGTAAACCACTTCGGTGAGATAGACAGTGTAGAAAATGAATAAAATAAATAGTCTTTGTCACTGAAGCACGTCTTGACTTTGCTAACCATTTTATTCTGTTTACTAACCATGTATCTATTTCATGGGTACCCAGGAAATATTTTAACTATCTTATGATATTTCCCTGATCCCTCACTGAAGAAGAGTTGTAAACATCACTATATCCTAACTTTTTGGAGTAAACAAAGCCCCCTGCCTTTGGGAAATCCTAAAATGGCACAGTACGGGGCTAGTAACATCAGTCTTTTGAAAGCTGCCAATTACGTTAACAACACAATGGCTTCATAACCCATTGCATGCTGTTCGTGAACTGTTAACGTAACTCTGATGTAAGCACTAAGTCCAGGCTTCCTTTAAATAATAATTTAATTACTCATAATAGAACAGATGAAAGAGTCATACAGCATTTCCTCATGCCTAGATCTGACATAGACACATTCTACTGGGAAAAAAAAAAATCCCACCACACCAATACAAATAGGATTATATTTTAAGTATAACTGGAGGAGGAGGAGGAGATGCCGGGTCAGGGAGGAAGATTATGCTCACGTAATCTGTTTCTGAGGTGACTGTGACGAAGCCCACATTACAAAGCGCATGAGGCAGCACGTCGTGTGACGAGTCGCAAAGGCAGGGCCATAAGCATATATATTGCCTGGGATGACTAAGAGTTGAATACGTAAACTGACTCGATGGGGAGGATCCACACCCTACCCACACAATAGGGATGTTAGCTGCATCTTGACAAAGAAGACACTTAATCTGCTGACCTGAACAAATTGGTTAGCTGGCATGCACCTTCTGTCCAAGGTGATCAAAGAAGTGGTAGGACAACCAGGATAGGTGGGATCAAAAAGGGTTAGTAGACAATCTCCACTCTGACATCAAAACACAGATAGGAATGGGCTAAGGATCTGAACTGACTCATAGGTACTTCAAAAGCAGGGGTTCTCGAACCCTCCTTTCCTAAAACTCTCTTTTCCAACAACAAATGTTTCACCAGAATTTTTCTTCACTATGGAGATCCACTAATATTAATCTGGAGAGTGAACCATGCAATGAGCAGAGAAGGAAACTGGGTATGTCTAAGTCTATCAGAGAGAAGGCTAGGGGTGACTACTGGAGGGGTTCTCACAGAGAAGAGGGGGCTGTCTTCATCTCCAAAGCACCTGAGGGCAGGACAAGAAGAAACGGGTGAAAGCTCACCAAAGAGAGAGATCCTACTTGAATTGAAGGAGAAACTTCCTGACAGTGAGAACTAATGAGTGTCTTGGCTTGTCTACAGAACTTGTGGGTGTTCCATCACTGGAGGTTTTAAGGAAAAAAAAAAAAAGAAAACCATTTGATTGGGATGGTATAAAGCAGAGGTCCCCAAACTTGACAACTTTAAGACTTGTGGACTTCCACTCCCAGAAATTCTCCAGCCAGAGAATTTCTGGGAATGGAAGTCCACAAGTCTTAAAGTTGCCAAGTTTGGGGACCTCCAGTATAAGGTCTCCTGCCTTGGCTAGCGGGCAATGAAGATCTCTGAGGTTCCTTTCAGCTCTATGATTCTATGAGATCAAAATGTAATTGTAAAGTATAAATTAAATCACAAACAAAATAAGAAATGTCAGAGACACATGTTGGAAGGCCTTAAACTTTAATCCTCTCTTTCCATCTGAAAAAGGGGAGCAGTGGCTCAGTGGCTAAGATCAGAAAGGTCAGAAGTTCGGCGGTTCGAATCCCTAGCGCCGCATAATGGAGCGAGCTCCCGTTACCTGTCCCAGCTTCTGCCAACCTAGCAGTTCAAAAGCACGTAAAAATGCAAATAGAAAAATACGGACCCCTTTGGTGGGAAGGTAACAGCGTTCCGTGCGCCTTCGGCGTTTAGTCATGCCGGCCACATGACCACAGAGACGTCTTCGGACAGCACTGGCTCTTCGGCTTTGTAACGGAGATGAGCACCGCCCCCTAGAGCCGGAAACGACTAGCATGTAAGTGCGGGGGGAACCTTATCTTTACTTTACTTTCCATCTGAAGTCAGCAGAAGGGCACTAGAGCGGCCCTTCAGCTACACTAGCAATCAGTTTGGCTTGCATTTAATTAGTCCAACTGCCAAGTGGAAAACAATGAACCAGGCCTTTCTCAGTTTTTTTTCCTGGGAGCGATAAATGGTAGGTTAAACACGTGTGTTTGTCTGTGACACACATTGGGGAAAAGTGAGGTGGCCACCAAGTATTTCTCACTGATTATTTGGTTTTTTTAAAAAAATTGAAAATACAGTCTTCTTTAAAATTTTGTTGGCAGGCACTAAGGAAATATTAAAACTTTACAGCATGCCTTCAGAGACACGGATCTTCTATAATTCAGTTTTCATGATAGAAATAACAAGCAAAAGCACCGACCTGTTTTGTTGTATCATTTTCCAAGTTGGTTAAATAGTGTTATTTATATTATGAATTTTTGAATAAAAGTTGTTTGTCAAAGGCAGTTTCTTGTAATATTATTCTTTTTCTTCTAAAATTCTTTCGTTCAAATGCTGGGTATGGGGAATGGAAAACAACACTTGAGCAGGAATTGTGCTTCAGAACCAATGCCCATTTGTAACTGATGTTTTAAAACATGCTTTGGATAGTACTCATGATATATAATTTATGTTCTAAATGC